AGGTCTGCCGGTTGGTTTTTGACAAGAAGCCTTCTATTGCCTGACTGCAGTGTTTGCTAAATCTAAATCGCCTACGTTGGCTAGGCCATGTCCTACATATGCCCGTTTAGCGGCTTCCTCGGCGTGCATTACACGCCGTGGCTGCACCAAGTTGGGTGAAACCGCGAGGTGACCAGTCCATGGCGTGGCATAGTGGCATGAAGAAATTACCTGAGAGATTTGGTCAGGCTGGGGTGTGCCGTCTTCCTAGATGGGAACCTCGGGATAGCCCACACAAATGGTTCGAGACCGTATCTGACACGGCGCAGTCACGTAGCCAGTGGCGTTCCTGCATTCGGTTTCTTACGTCTGATTGTCAATTTGGATTGGTTTAACACACTTCCTTCTTGCTTCCATTTTCTTTACATTCTACTTGCCCTTAGCCGTTGTTATTTGGTTATGCTTACTATGTGAGTCGTGGCATTTCGATCCACCGCACTTCGTTGCTCGGATCATAGTTGATCTACTGAACTGATTGAGAATGATTGCCAACACAATTGATCAGTATATCTGAGGGATTTCAGATGCAGGTACATCCAGTAATTCTTCTCTTCACATGCTTTACGACCACCTTGTTTGGCGCACAGTTTACTGTTGCCGCGCCGGATCATATCAGTGGATGAAATGCCAAGAAACCTATAGGAATCGTCTGAGAGGCTGCTTGCCACAATTGCTCGCTGTTTTCACTAGTGGAAGCTTCAGAATAGGTTACACCAATTGTTAGAAAGCTCATCCGATATGAGGCGTTGACATTCGGTGTCGCGTATGTGCCGGTTAATACCCGTGCTTTTCTTATTGTTCTCCTTAACTATTGTTGTTTCTGTCGCCCCTAATACTGCTCATGGAAACTGGATCATCGACACTTGAGTTGCTGAATCAAAGGAACTATCCCATGTGACATGCTGATTTGGCGAAACGATGGGGGGCCGATATCTGCCACTACGCATTGTCTACTTTCTTGTCCATTTGGATATCCCGCCCGTCGTTTGGCCAGTTCACTAACGCGTTTTCCTTACGAAAGTTACCCACTGGAGAACGTGTGGGAGTACACGTAGCTTTGGACAGAAGCACCAGGTAAGGTGCGTTTGCGGAATTAGGCTGCCCGGGAATCCTCTGTCATGTGTGGGCCGAAGATCACAATCGTTCGGGACATGTAGTGTACGTTGTTGGGAACCACTCCTATAACAAAACGGGTTTAGTCCGGTTCTGAGCAGACTTGATTACCACGATCCTCCGAACACAGAAGGATGGTTTCTCAAAATCACCTGGAGTGACGATAGAACACCGTCTTATTGGAATGAGACGTAGTGTGTGCGCCAGCCTCTGTATAAATGAATGGCTGCTGTGTGCCCTATGTCATCACTATCCCAATTACTGCAGGCGAATCGCGCAGTTCAACATCTCAACACCCGACCCCAGCTACAAATATTCAACTAATTTTTGCTGGCATCACTTACTAAAATGTGATTAAAGACATCGAATTGATCTATTATTCATGATTTCTTCGGTTGCAAACTTAGATAACAAACTAATCCACATTATTTCTGATATCATTTTAGTCAGTCCAAGTTAATTCTTGAAAAAAGTTATCTCTTTCTTGTATTATCACAAATATCCAGTAGTATGGAAAATACAAAAAGGTGAGAGTACTTTAAGTAATTTTGCATAGAAAAGCACCAAATGTTTGCCATATTTGTGTTAAATGATATCGCTGGAACTTAGGGTCTAATGTAAACATGTGGGAATTATTGCATGTATGAGCTGCAACCAACTTATTTTTTTAAAGGATGCCAGCACGAATCGGTACCGTTACGAGTAGACTGGAACTGACAAGCTATTGGTAACATGATTGAAAAATTTGCGTATTTTTTCAATAAATGTTCCGATATATTAGGCTAATACTATTACAGAGTGAAACCGTGAAGTGTAGTAACACGCTTTCTCCGTTTTAATATCATTTTATTGTTGAAAATGCATATAGACCATAGTTTACCTGGTGACATCAATTTCTTCAACAGGAATCTTGAACTATTAGATTCGGGTATAAATAATGGGTCATTGCAACACTAGACCATGCCGCCTAACGGGATCTCTACCAAGGAGCTCAGGTCACTTATGAAAAGACATTAGGTTTGGGATATGGCGTTGTTATGAACCTAGTGGACAAGCTCCCGAAGGAGCGGTCTTACCACATCTATTTTGACAGTTTTTTTACAGGCTTGCCACTTATGATAGCCTTAGCTAACAAAAGCATAAGAGCAACGAGGAGTATTCGAGCAGCTAGAACAGAAAAGTACATCATCAACACAAAGGCGCTTAGCAGGTACTTATGACTACAGGTTTGATAGACGAGGTGAAATGTTCGTTTTGTCTTGGGATGATAATTCCGTTGTGACTCTTGTCAGTAACTTTGTTGATGCATATCCTCTGACAAAACCGAAGAGGTGGCCACCCAAGGACAACAAGCACATACTTATTGAACAACTTAGCCTCGTTACCAAGTATAACACCTCAATAGGAGGAGTGGATCGATTGGACCAAAATGTTGATCAGTATAGAAACAATTTTCACAGCAAAAGGTGGTGGTGGCCGCTACATGACTTTCTACCGGATGTGACAATAAATAATGCTTGGATTTTGTACAGGAAACCACTTGTACATAAACAAGAGCAACATGCCATGATTTCCTTCAAACGAGCTGTCGTGAAAGTAGTCCATTTGCAGGTGTGTCTAACAGAGAATAATGTCCAAAATCTCGCATCAAGCAGAACACGGCAAAACGTAGAACAGCATCAGGAAATCTTGTTTTGGACACCAGTTGGAATGTATGCCGAAACAAAGCAGATGCCGGCACTGTGGAAAGAAAGCTAATCTACTCTGCCCAGTGTGTGATGTGCCACTACACGTGGCCTGCTCCACGATAATAAATAATAATAATAATAATATGTCAGCTGTACGCTGATATAACACCTTTTGTGTAAATCTGGGCTTCATATTCTTTTGTAGCGAGCTACTGCCTCTTACATTATCTCCTTGAAAACGTATTAAACACCGTCACATGAAATCTGCAAACAGTCGTCTATTTGCCCAGAAAACGAAGTTGTATGTTTTCATTTACACTCCGAAGTCATTCCTTACTGGCGTCTTTTAAAATGGACAGTTAGAAAAGTCCTCATATTTCCTAAAAATAATCTAAATTTGCAAAATCCAAACTTCGTGTGAGCACTTTTGCGCCATTTTCTATTAAATATATGAAAATGAAGATAATTTAAAACTTCAACAGAAAATGGGTTAATGCAAGATATCGGTCATATCAGATGAAGGCATTAACTGACTCATTCAATGCTGGGGTCCGACAACAGGCCCTCGAGTGTCGCATTCAAGCTGCCTGTGTCCTTCGCACAGCTGCTGACCACCTACCCAGTCGTGTGTTGTTTGTGAACATATATAGTCTTGTTGGGTAAACTCTCAGCGTGTCCAGTAAATGAACTGACTAAAAGATTAAATCCGCCTTCGTGAATGGGATCAGCTCGTAATTGATTGTATACCCTGTAAGATAGGGCGTAGTCGAGAGGTCCACAGCGCAATTATACTTACTGGGTCATTTCGTACTGCCAGTCCTTCTATCTGATCTTAATACCTTTTCCAACTTTTTTACGGCTGGGTTTTTTGTTCGGAATTACTCTGTACTATGAAATCACGCTAACCAGCGCCGCGGAAATGTTCAACGATATAGTGCGGAGAAAAAAGCCGAAGCTTGGCTTGTCCCGCCGGATGATCAGTTAGGAGTGAGCCAAATAGAAGCAAAAATAGCAACAGAAAACAGTGAACAACCACAAATTGCCAACTTGCTGGTTACAGTGTTCCCAGTCTGAGCGGTCCACATTTGATTTTATGTAGGTTGGTAGTTGTTCAGCTGAATTCCGCTTAATCACTCTTCACCTCATGCTGAGTGTAACGATGAAAGTGCACTAGGTGCATAGAAGCCTACGAACAGCGAATGTAACTTGTCTAAGGTATGCAGCATTTGAGTTGGACCACAGAAAAGAAGAATTCTGCTGAATTGGGGCCTGTTTCGAATGCCAGTGTGACCCGCTACTACAGCGCTTCAAAGGTTCCTGTTAAGTATCTGGATCGCTTCTGGAGAGAGTAAATTCACGGTGTTACTACAACTTGGTATCTCGTCGGAGTGTGCATTCAACGCTCTCAAGATGGTCACTAACTTGCATCCGGTGGATTGGGGACGCCATAACAATCTAGATCAGAACTACAAGAACAAGGGTCTCATCCCGCCTATTCTGTCACAATCTAGTGATCAGACACGAGTCCCCAAAATGTAAAACAGAGCGCGGTAGACCTCGTAGCCAAAATAGCTAGGCAAGTTGCTCCAATTTCTGCGCTGCAAGCTATTTTCTTATGGAGGATACAATTACCACAGAACAACAGTGTGCCAAACTTGTACCGTAATATGGTCCACTTTTGGGAAACATTGTTAGAAAACCTCTTACATTTTGAAGGTTAATATTTTTCTGTATTTTAGGGGGAGCATGGTCAAACGCAAGTTAGGATGGCATTTATTCATACAGAAACATCTTAAAACAAAGTAGGGGCACAAGTGAGGATGGCTCAAGTCACCGTGGTATGGGGTGACGGGCCGCACAACACCAGCTCTATTATAACTAAACTGATAACTACACTGGGATGACAATGGCCACTAAAATGCAATGCCTGGCACTGTAGCTTTATAATACACACAATCCAACATTTATCCGTTTTAATTTTGAAGTGTTAAATATAGTACCGGTGCGTACCACTAATATTGGTATGAAAAACAATCAAGAGGAAATAAAAATTGATAACTTTGTTAAACTCGCCACAATACATTTAATGGTACCGAAAGGATAGCATGATTTATTTCCGCGAAAATAATCAAATATATTCCTGTTCCAGGCTTCTTCAACGGGTGTCCACTCGTCTTCACTGGACAGGTTCAGCTCTTCATCCGATGGAACGTCTGACACATTTGCCACCTCCACAGTTTCTGGCTCTGCCCTTCCTGCAACTGCCTCTGCTACAGATTCTTGATCTTTGGGGACAACAATGCTCCTCCCAGGAACTATATCAAGCTTTTTCCTTCTCATCTTCCTGGCTGGCCCGTCATTGTCCACATTGCGAAGATGTTTCAGATGTTCTGTAAACGCTCCAAACACAGAATTGTCGAGGTTCTCATTGAGTGATTCTTGTGGCAAACGGTTGAGTACAGGTGTTTTGTCAAAGGGATAAATGCCACACTTTGTAAAGCCTGTTTTGAGCTTCTCTTCTTCGTTTGGCAGTTCAACCATGAGGTTTTTCAGCAGAATCGTGACACATCTTTTGATATCGTTCCCGCACTCTTTTCCTATGCCAGTTTGTACTGTCAGAATGCACATCCATTTAGCTTCCATTGGTCAAAAATAAACAACATCCAATGGTTGCAGAAGATGTGTTGCATTTGGAGGCAAACACACAAATGAAAAGTTATTTTTGTCACACTGAATCAATATTTCATTGCTGAAAGGTGATGACAAAGTATCACCTATTAAAACTTTCCTCCCCTCCAGACTCTTACAGTAGGGCAGAGCCATTGATCTGAACCAGTCGACGAAGCAGACATGGTCAAACCAGCCAGATTTGGATCGATTGAACCTGGCTTTGTGTGGGCCTCCTTCAATCCAAGTGCTCCATAGATGTTCAGATTTGTAGACAAGATAAATTGTTAGAATTTCACCAGCGGCGGATCCTACCCACATCAACCTCGTGGATGTCTTAGTTGAATTCATCACTGTTTCTGGATAACGAACTCCCCTCTTGAAGATGAGACGCTTGCGTCCAGGGTCATCAGTTAGATTCGTCTCATCATAGTTTATGTTTTTGGGAGGCACACCATCAAGGTTTTGTTGTAGCTCAGAAAAATTTCTCAATGCTTTTGCCCTCTTGCGAGAAATGTTCTGACACATTCTATTTTTTATTGTGTCCCTATACCTGCCCATAAAACCGTTACACCAGTCCTCACCAGGTACGTTGTCTTTAAACTACCGCACAGATATCCTCTCCTTGTCCAGAATTCTCTTCACGGTACCGTCAATTAACTAGTGGCATCATAAGAAGCCTCGTGGGTGATTTATGCTTTCATGAGGAGATGAATGCAGTGCTGCTCGGTCGCAACACCGCGCTCCACGACAGATCTATTATCTATTCGCACCTGTCAGGTAGAACTGTAACTCGATGCAAGAAAGCAAAGATTACCCGCTGAAGCCTTTACTTCTACAACACCAAGCTCCACCGGCAACTGCTTTCCTAGCTAGCTTGGGTCCTAAGAACGATGAACACGTTTGTTTGGACACCTATGCTGAAATGGCGAAGAGCCGACCCCAATGGCGTTCGTGTAGTGAGTTTCTTTGTTTATCCCCCTCTAATTCCGATCTGATACGAAATGCATAATATAATATTTAACATCAGCATCTTCCAGCGGATTGTAGATGACATGGTAAAGGACATACCCTTTACTTGTGCTCATTTGGATGATATCCTGGTTTCTGGCCGAAGTGATGTTGAACATTTAAAGACACTTCGTGGTAGCAACCACGGACTGGCAACAGTCGAGTCGCGGATCCGAGTCATACCAGGGTCCCATAGAATGCGCACTGCCGACGAGTCCCAAAGGATGAAACACGCGTACAGTGCTTTTCTGGGCGTGTGACGGCTGTCTCTGTGAGTCTAGATGTGACGAATTTCTACCTATACCAAAACTAAATGTGATTTTTTATCTGAATGTTAGTTGTCTTGGCTACAAATTTGATAAGACAGGTCTGCATGTTTTTCGGGATAAAGTACCCCAATTATTTAGCCTCGCATTGACCAATCAATACTTTCTCACTCATGCTTTAACTAGTGTGTCATGTGAGCCATGTTGCACTGCTTCGCTCCATACACTTTGTATTGTACTGTCTTGTTTTGGCATAACTGCCGTCAGGGGGTGTGCTTTGCTTGAATTTTTTACTTCGTAATATTTACCTGCTTGGAATCTTTTTTGCACTGTAATTTTTTAGTCTCTTATCTTTTTGTATTGCTGCACATTAGCTGAGGTGTTGCTCCCCCTCAGCCAACGTGTGTGATGATGTACGGCTCGCCAGACATGGAATACGGGCTAGTATTTTTGGCATTATAAGCGATATGACCATGACATAATGGTAAGGGGTTATTAGCCAGAAATTCTCTTAACAGGTTCACTACACGGAAGCAGACTGGGTTGTGTTTGGGTCCCTTCGGGGTGCATCAGCAATGCGCATCTACTCGGATCGGTTCATAAACCGTGCTTTATAACGCTGCACGCTACAGCCATTTCAGTGAGTGTGCGTGCCTTCCGCCCCAGATAACGGCACGTTGTGGAGCTGGGCTTATGATGCACAACGCGATTGCGATGGCCAAGGAAGTCCTGGTACAAACTCAGCTTCATCCCAGGAACGCAAATATGGCTGTTTTGTGGGATCGAAAGTCAATGTTCACATGTGTGTCAAATCTGAACAAAGGAGTGAAATGATATGGATCGTAAATATTCAGAAAAAATTGTTGAGATCAGTTAGATAATTATCACAGTGTTCCAGAGTAAAAACCGAACAAAGGGGGTAAATCATACGATATGTAAGTCAAAGGTAAAAAGCCGCGAAGAAGAAAAATAAAAAGTTTCTGCCGCAACGGGACGGATGTAAGTGCGACTGAAGTATATCACTTGAGCTTGCGAATGACATCGGTCGGTTTAATGCCATGGTTTGCGTACACGGGATCCCCGATGATTTCCGAGTGCACGCGGTTGATAGCCCGCAAAACATTGTGCGGCAAATGGTCAATGAACATGCGTGGATGTATGAGCACCGTTCGAAACTGATCACTTGTGGTCCACACAGCCACATTGGCTGTTGGAGTCTTGTGCGAATAGCAACAGCTGAGTGGAGGGAAGAATGAGTATGGAAAATTAGTACAACGAAATCAACACAAACGTATGTATTAATTAATCAGAGATTATGACAGATCAATGGATTGTTAAGTTCTTTAGCGCTAGGATACGAGACGAGTTCGCGTGTCCGGGGCGACAACAAAAGGAGTCCACTGCTGCGGAGGCAGACACACAGACTTTGAGGAAATAACGATGGAATATACGCGAGAGCGCTATTATCATTGCGAATGCAACGTGTCAGACTTTATTCAGGGGTGGAAAAGGAGTCAAGCACTAGACTACAGCTTCACTGTCAACTGACTGCAAGCGTTCGACCGCGGGCTTCCAGGGCGCCCCAGCCTAGGCGGACTTGCATCCGCGGATAGTGCCAAAAAGGGGGAGGGGCAGACATCACAGCAAACAGGCATCCGATTCCAAGCATTGGGAGCTTGGCAGGTCACCTGCCTTGAAGGCATAATTCAACTTGTACAATGCAAACACAAGGACGATGTGCATCCTCTGTCGGAACAAAGGCTAGCTTGGCTTTCCCGAAAGCCACTGAACTGTGGTGATGTGATGCTCGTGAGAACTGCCGAAACGATGAGGTGAACCTCTCGATGATTCTCGTACGATGCAATCTGACCTTATCAAACATGAGAGGTGATGACTGACAACCGCCCACCTAAACGTATCTCCACCCTGCATCGTATCGTGTTGAATCAAACGTCTGGATCAAAAAGTGGCGATTTCCACTGATTATCGGAAAAAACAAAGTGAGCTTGTCGGCCCCGGTTTTTCCTTTCCCTCTCAAAAGCATCGCTTCAAGCGCACTGTCCCGGAAAGTGGGTGGTGAGACCCGGGTACATCGGGCGGTTCAGGAGGCCTCGGTGACGTTACAAAGTTACCGGTCTATACACTAACTCCCGTATTCGGCAGCGCCTCGAACGGCCTGTGACAGTACTGAGATGTCCCCAGCAATACTGGTCCAGTCATCCACCAAGGGTCTCTTAGCAATCCTAAGGCTTAGTTAGAAGCAGTTTTAAAGGGTAGCTGGATCTGTGGATCGTACAGCGAAACACAACACATCCAACGGTGCCGTCCGTTCCATCTAAACGTATGTGTCGGCGGTGGCCAGTCCCATTGGAAGGTTTTGCTTCGAACTGAGCGTTTCGACAACTCATTCATTGAATCATGCAACACTAGGAGAATATAATGGGAAGATCGATGGTTACCAGATGAGGGTGGAAAATGTCGTTTGAAAACTTACGAGTCCGGTTCATGCATCGGATCCAGCGGAGGGAGTGGATCACCGGATCCTGTCCGCTGTGCACCATGCTCATTTTTATTTGGACACACATCAACTATATGAAGGATTAGACCCCCAAAAGAACCGTCCAACAATTCCATGGAGCCTTCGGGGTCTGACGAGTGGCATCCGGACGCTGATCCAGCCGGTTCAACTCTGAGGGGGTTCGACGTGGTGTATAACAGTTGCGAATTTTCGGAGCTGATCCATCGGAGTAATGAGCGTGTACCGGGAACCAGACGACTGGGCCATTGTACGCGTTCTGAAGCCAGAAAATAAGATCACTATGAGGCGGAAGTCAGCTGGGCTAATGGAAGCCGAAGAATAGAACGCTGTTAGACACGCAGTAGTCTTCGATGCGAACAACACTCAGACAGATACGAGGGAATATGATTGGCTAGAAAATAATTTATGTGGGTAGGGGAATATTAAGATGGAAAAATGCTAAGAATGGAACAAGCGGTGAAGATAGGCCCAAAGTAGCATAGTGATATCGTTGCATGACTCGGTTGCTTTAGTCACAGTTGATAAATTCTTTTAGGTCCTTGTGACATGTGATGGTATGAGTTAATTCCGAGTGTTCAGATAGACACTCTGCATGGTAAAAACAGTATAATTTCAAACCAAATCAAGAAAGAGCTTTATGCATCCAAAACGGTGGATATTCAGCTTTTATGACCACATGGTCGCTGAGACTTAATGGACTCGCCAACAACAACCTATCTATCATGAGCTCTTTGCTTCTGAACACAAGGTCCAGTACTGACGGTTCGTTCCCTATCCGGAATCAAGTGGCCGTGATGACGTGTTTATATCAGGGAATATTAGCGAAAATCCATGCAATTCGGATTTGAAGTGGTTGTTAGAAGATACCGTTACCTCAGGTCGTGTACATTAAAAATCTCCTGAGATACATAGAGCGTGTAACCCAGCCCAGGGCATGTATCAAACGGGAATGCATTTTTCGGGACGGATGTTGGTGGGAGATAAGACAGCTACCAGATATGCATCGTTTTCTCGGAGACCGAACGGGAGTGAGCTAGTGACATGTGCGGGCAGGCAACAAACCCCTACATGGACTTGTAAACAAACATTAACCTTACTTTTAGATGGGCTATAATGCGGAACTCATAATTACCAAATCAGTGACCGCCTTCTCATCGGTGTCATTGGTAATGCTTAACGATACCGATGATACGACATAATCCAGGAACACCAACAACTAAGTTTTCAACTGCTTTTATCCCAAAGAGTAGCCCGAGCCCATGTGTCGCCCTCGAGTGAAGTTACCGTGAAACGGAGTAGGGCGCGCGGCGCGGAAACGTAAATTACCCAGCAGTTGTTCCGCACAACGCTGGAATTGAACGCGTACGAGCTTATTCAGACACCAATGAAATGCTCCATCGAGGGTGACCAAATATTTGCCATGATTATTGGAAGTATCAGTGTTGTGTACGTGGGTAATTACAAAATACTGCCCGGAAATTTCGATTTTGGATAGATGTAGGATGCGCTAGTAATACTCCCGAGAGAATTGGAACTCGTTAGTTCAAGACAAATACCTGCAGATCCATTGAGATCTGACACAGTGCGACGAGGTGGATCCTAAAATAACGAGGAGCGCACAAGCGCGGATGGCATGTGGTGTGAATCATTGGTTGCTTTCGAGTCAGTACATATAAATGTATGATTGATTGTGAAGCTGCCACGGCAATCACAAGACCACTGGCTCCTGCATCCATATGATGATGTATATTCGAGGCTCTTTACAATGTCTGGCATCCCGGCATACATGCGACTGCGAAATTGCTCCACGAACGCTTTGTATGATCGGAAGTAGGCATTGCCATCCTCACGCGATCAAAGAATTGCTTAACATGTCAACGTCCAAAAGTCATTCGGCATGCTCAATGGCACACCGGAACCTCCCCAAAACCAAACAGCAGATTCGACCATATCCATATCAGTATAATCCGGACCCTTACAGTATTTCATTGGCAATTCGTTTACGACATATCAAGATAAGTCTTACGAAAAGTGGAACAATAGTTATTTTCGCTAAAAAAGCAAACGCTTAACAATTTCCGTAGGTAAAGATTGAGATCAAAATGTGAGCGTATCAAGAAAAGTATTATATATACATATATATATGAACTTGCAAAATGCTAAGAAGAGTTGATTGGAAATGTTTATGACAGGGTGGTTTTGAAGTTCACAGAATTAATCACCAAGTGATCATGCCAAATTCTGCACAGCATGTAGTTCCAACCTGACGAACACAGAGGAAGCAAGCAGTAGTAGTCCACCCGAACGAAGCGCATTGTTATTTTACAAGTTAGAACGGATGATGTGTTGTTGTTGAGACTTGTGACATGTTAAGTCACGTGACATACTCTAGCAAAGGTAACCAAGGGGATTAGTTCCCATGCACAAAATGCCTTCATAATGGGTTATTTAACAAAACAAAATTCTGTCAATCAAAATTCACCATGCACAATGAGTTAGTGCTGCGTAGTGAACGAGTTGCGCATGAGAGTTACGCGGATGACAGGAGTAGTGCGGAAGTTCAGGAAAATACCGAACGGTCTGACGCTTCTGATTAAAATATGCGGTAAGTCTGCGGGGTCTCCAGGTGGGAAAGGGAGCGCAAGCATAGTTGAAACCCACTTACCATCTATCAACGTGAGCTTCCGTGAGCGCCACTGTAGGTACAGAGATGTCTGTTCTCAACAATGCAAAGGACACCTGCATAGGCGTGATTATGGTAATGAATAAATGGTTTTATTCCGAACTGCGAAACACACCATTAGTAGCATGACCTATAAATGAACAAGATCTATAAATATACTGAAGTACACTTGTGGGACAAGCGATTGGGAATACCAGACACGAAGTCCAATCAGGATGCCGATCGTACAACGAACTCAATCACATCCAAACGTAGATCAGCGGGGTTGAACTAATAAACCAATGGAATTTCAAAATACACCTACCTACATCACCAGCCTCCGCGGAAAAATGGTACCAGGTCTCTTGAAGCCTAGCAGGTATATCAGGGTTGGGGTAGATTAGTCGATTCTGTGCGATTGGACTGAGTAAGTGGGTATCCTCTCCGATCTTGGGTGGTGATTTGGTGGGACAGAAGCAGGTAGAACATCCTTTGTAGCAGCTACGCAGTAAACAGAGCTCGACCCCACGACTGATGATGCGATACTTTGGAATGTGGCTTGCTGACAAGGCATCGAGTAGACGCCATTTGAAATCTATCATGGTCGCCTTGTTCATCCGCGCGATTGCATCGAAACCGTAAATTATGGATAACAAAAAAGGTTTCGTGTAGGCGCATAGCTCGGAACTACGAAAAATGAACGAAAAACAGCTCCATTCAGACTAGATGACATGATTCGCGGATTTCAACTATCTACAGATCACGAAAGTCAATGATATGTTGCGTTCTAGGTAACTATACGCAGAGTAAGAATTTTCGACAGGTGAAATGAAGGCGTTTAATAAAACAGAAACTCGAAAAGTTGATTCGGCACACCAAGAGGGAGCGAGAAATGGAGTCTGACCCCGCTTAAAAGTGATTAGCGGAAGACGAAGTGATGACTTTGGGAAACTAGGTGAAAGATCGTGAAAAAATGTAAATACTCCGGTGATCAAAATATAGTACTGGAGACGATAAATTCGCCAGTGTTCTAACGAGTGGGTTATATCAGACCACTTTACTGGAACACAGCAGACTACACCGTGTGATAATATTAAGGGAAATGGGAAAGGGGGTAAATCCAGAAAACATACAAAATGAAACCATCCAGTTACGATAGATGAGGAAAGTAAAAGACTCCACGGGAGAACCCAACCGAATTATCGGTTATGTCGTTGAGTAAGGCCTTTAAATTATGAAATGACCAAGTTAAGGTTCAAAATTTAAAAGTGCAAAACACAAAAGTTCGGCCACTGTTTCTATAATGATGGAACCTTTTCCGCACTTCTCGTTTCCCCGTTTGACCCTTGTTTGGATTCCCCGAGTAGAGATGAACGCTGGTAATAGAGTTGTTCGCGGAAATCGTTAGTTTAACGGGCAATTTTAATCACGACACACCGGGATTCAGCTCACAGCTCAGGCTGTCTGTACCTGAAGAGTCCAAACAAAGACGAAACGGGGTCATGCCATGTTTGGAGCAGGTGACACCGAGACTCCCTACTACGGCGCATGTGTTCTAAGTGATTGCAATTGTCGAGGTCTATTTCGAAATAAACCGTGATCCAATTTATGATTACATGTCACTATTCAAACACGGCTGAGGCTTGTGTGCGCTCATCACTAGCTCCCTTGCCACCCCCCCCCACGCACGTACGCACTCTGTAGCCTACAACTGATTGGGTGAGTGTTCATCGATTGATCGCCAAAAAAGTCAGTAAACCTGTGACTAGACTGAGTCACATTTTCCGGAAGACAATCCCATACGCGTATCCTACCTAAATGTGCTGCTTTCGTTTGTCGGAGTACGTCGTAATGCTACAGAACCCGATTTCCAAATAGGCGTAGGGTGTTTAGCGAAATATATCAATGAACATTTCCAGACATATTATCCCAGCTTGTGTCAGTTAACAGCAAAGTACGTTATTGCAGTAGATCACATTACAAATTGGCAGCTGTAATTCCTTATAACAGGTGGTTCAAAAGTCAGCTAGCCACTTACTTCATAGTGCCCAGAGGGCAACTGAAGGCATATCCTTTCACTTCAGGATACATAGGACGGAGTAGAATAACCAGAAAGGACGCTATCCCGGCACCCAAACTATGTCCACACACAACCAACGGATAGTGCGGCCGTTTCCGCTTTGCCACGTCGATCCACCCACTCGCCAGAAGGCGCTGGTGCAGCCGCCGAGCACGGTTCACCATCCCACGATGTCCAAGGAACGTCGGTTTTGATCCCATCTCTGCCTCTACGAGGGATTCAATTTCAGTCAGCCGAACGGCATCATAAAGAAAATCCGCGACGACGTCCTCAACGGAAAGAGTGCCACGGATCACAACGACAATGCAATGAGTTCGATCGTCCAAAGCCACAAAGAACGGGGATTGATGCAACTAGGTGAAAAATGGGAATACTTGCGCAGGAATTTCAAACCAAAAAGGTGTATACGAACAGAGGAGTCGAGTAGCAGACTGCAAACAGGGTGACGACATGCCCGGGGATTAAAGCTAATTGCCCAATGACACGGCGAATCAAACAATGTTGAAAGCATCAGAATTCGGCAGAGCGGTGGCGGTACGGAACAATAATTCCGAACACACACAACGCAAACTTCCAAGTAACGCGACTGGGAAGCACACAGGTCAGCAACCCTATGAGCAGCATGAGTAGTTCCAGGAATGCTGTGTGAAACTCGAACACCACTATATGTGCAGTTAGAGGAAGAGCGATCAGTGCACAGTTTAGAAAAATCGGCAGATTGTAGAGTCAGTCGAAACAAGAGCGCACTAGCCAAAAGGTGAAACGCCTGATCAAGAACAAACGATAACAAAACAGAGCGGATGTCCGCAATGAATCATAAGAATCGGTTTCACAAGTTTCGAGACTGAGTGGTATCGGTTCGTAACCCAAAGTGTAAAGTAGATATTAATAAATAGGTAAATGGCAGTCATAATAGGGTTCCCTGGCATTCAGAGGTGAGACTAATCGTCAGATAAATTTTCATCTAAACAGACTAGCGGCCACAGTTAACTTTATGGCTGGTGAGTGTGACGATTTGCTCCTACTGTTGCACAGGATGGTGTTAAGTTACGCGTAATGAACCCTTGTTCCACACATCTCTGTTGCGAATCGCGGAAAAAGAAACGTTACATCCTGCATATCCTTCACGCTAAGAGATGGGGGGGGGAAGGGCAGAAAACGAAATCCGGGATTGAGTATTCCATAAGCCCAACAACAGAATGTTGACCATTGGAGCTTAGCAGTCCGGTCTGGAGGGAGCCTGCCGACAGCCTTTACATACAGGCAAACAAGGTAGCGAATCAAGGGCGTAAAGTGTAGTGTGGTGAGGAGCAAGTAACATAAACACAAAACTGTTTGGATTCGGTACAAATGACCGAGGCTAATTGCTAGGCGATGGTGTAGCAAGCGGATGCCTCACAAATTCAACATAATCATGTGGGTAGCGAGCAATAATTTAGCGTGCACAGTTGTTCGAGCTGAACTCAATTTGTCCGCTAATCACAAAGTACAACCCATGGCGCATTCAATGCGTTTGAAAAAATAAATGGAGAGGAAGCAAATAGACAGACAGATTCCTGGTGAATCAGTGGGGCAGATTTCGGTCAAGTACTACCTGGTACTGCATAATCGAAGCAAACATAGGAAGCTATAAAAGAATCTACTTAGTGATAATAACAATAATGGAAATTGGGTCCGCCTGGATTTGGCTCGTGGTCGACTTGAGGTACCGATTCGTATTATGCCGCGTGAACGGGAATCAGCTGTTTGCAGTACGTGACAAATATGTAATAGTAAATTCTTGTTTATCCGGATAGTCATAACCACTCCACAGACGCCAATAATCCGCTCTCCCACTGGTGACGCGATCAAAAACAGTCAAAGGTGCATTGGTACATTTACAAAACTAAGTAACGAAGCTACACACATGGTTGGCGGCATCCGATTCCAGAGTTGCCTCTCACTGTGGCCTCCATGAGGACAGTCACAAGGCGCTTGCGTCTACAGAGGGATCACAGATGGCTTGCGCAGCACTACCGAAGGTTCCATCCACACACCTCACTTCCAATGTAAACTTGAAGAAATAAAACCTGGAGGCATGTGGATGGGAGCCACGTTACATCAACGGAGCCGGCTCACGCTCCTTCAACATGGACAATAGCAGCATTCCTGTCTATCTAATCTGGTAACCATGCGTGCCAGACGTACACAAGACGGTAGCTGGACCTTAGTCCGTTCCACACTTGATGCATGGAACCACTCTATGTCTAGCATGATCAGGAGGACTGTGCAACAAGTTTTCTCAAGCAACGACCAACTGTCTCCTGGAGCTAGTACAATCGAGGTTATGGTTTTTCGACAGGTAGGCACCTTGTCAACACTCACATCAAGCACAACCATACTGGGGATATAAATGAACAGGCGACACATGAAATGTAAGAGAATCAGCACGCAGACAGACACACGTACAAAGTAAATGTAACGACAATGCGGTACGCGTATCACATTAGGCGGCTTAGTGGCTTGGGTTTGTAAATTGAATGAAAGCGGACGCAGCACACCCACCAATCGCTGCGCTGATAAGGCTAGTCAACTCGGTCACCTGAGCCGACGCGTAGGATCCGACGCAGGCAATGTTAATGGAAGCGCTCCAGATAATGGATGTCCTTTCGGTACATCGTTCACATTTCGCTGCCGCAACTAAGAACGGACAGCACCATAGACTTGTATACCATCAGCTGCGTTCCATCCTGAAGCTGGTGATCGTCCCACACACGTTTTTCCAGTTTACCAGACGCAGCAGCCACGTATGCGCAACTCGCTCATCATCTGCAGCACGTCATCAGTAACCTGGATCTGGGGCAGGTCCACAGACTCCAATCTTGGTATAAGCTGTAAGAGACAGACTTCCTTGTGTTTATGGTGAGCCCGAGCTTTTCCGCAGGGTGAATACGTGTACTAATTTCTTACGAGTCAAATGTGTCGTTCCGTGAAAGAAACCGCCAACCACAATCAGGTCAAGTGAGAATATAGCAATTGACCTGAGCATGACTTCGGCAATAGTCTCACGAAAATTAATTGATAAACTCTCATGAAAGGGGTCAAACATCTATGTCGAGTGGAAACAGAAAGTGCTCACACACGTGTTTGCCTGTGGATAGTAAAAAAACCTATAAATAACTTGTTTAAATGAATCAAAGAGGAAGAGAAGTGGTAACCTGCTGCTAAAGTCCTCCATCGACATAATACTCGTTGTCTGATGTGACGGGAGTACGGGTCAACGATGTGCACACATACCGACGTTCATTTTCTAATTCCCATGTGCCCCAGAATTACAGTCACATAGGAATTGAGCGGGAGTCCCCAAGAAGCAAAACACTCATAAAGCGCTTTATCAAACTGCTATCCAGTGTGTGTCAGAGACGCATAAAGACACCAAGAAATCTATTTCTAATGCAAAGGCATGAACACATTCATTTAGAAAGCGCTAAGCCAATTGCGGACACGGTTTCTTGTCCGCATTACTGCTGATACCGCAACATCTCATGATAGGCCTGGAACCGAGTAGGAGTTAGGAACGTTTTATGTACCAAAATGGCTTTGCGCATGCTTGTGTTGTGGATCCATTTAGCTCCTGACACAAAAGCATATTCAGGCCAGGTGAATTATTATTATATATAATTGGGTTGGCCTCTATAAAAAATAAGGATGACAATTGTGAGAAGTGACCAATCAGGATAAGTGCAGTTACAGTTCAATGGGTCATTCCACGGGTGTAACAAGCCTGGTACGTCACCGATTCGTCCTAATCACAGGTCATTCACATGTAAGGCGCTTTCGCTCTTGTTGGTACTGATTCCGAAGACGAATCCATGGTTGGCCTATTATTTTACTAGCACATTTAGATTTATCTGCATTTATTATTATTATCATCAACCAATCCACCTATTTGAAAGATACAACCGAGCAATCAGCCCCGCAAAATAGCATGGGAACCGCTCTGAAAAGAAAACGAAGAAGTATTATCCGTCCCATGCGATCCCGTTGTACATAATGACCAGACCAATCAGTTAGACAATGCCTCGCACCGCCGAGCTATATACCCTATATTTAGTTATTATGTATATATTTGGCGCGAAAGCCTATGGTGCGCTGAGGCTGGTGGTGGCTAGATCCTGACAGATTACCTACCCACTGCAGCTACTGTTGTCCAATTGGTTCATGTCCTGAATGCCTCCTCGTGACGACCGCTGGGTGCGAGTAGGGTTTCGCCTTTCTCCCTTCTATGTTCCAGGACACCAATCCGCATGAGTCAGCTAACTGGCCATGTGCTAGACCCGCTGCCTTTCGGGTGTTCATTTAATCGAAGGCTTTGGCTGAGGACCCGAGCCGTTCTCCTGTCAGGATTGGGCGCCCTGGCAGTATCCTAGTCCATCCTCTTCTGAGGTTAGGAAGTGGTCGTTGGCAAACTTCCCGTAAAACCTAGTCATGGGAGACAACAGGTCTACGGGTTATAAGCTCACGGCTCGATTGTCGTAGAGCACGAGCACCACGCATTGTCTCTGATGGTGGGAGGACACCTCCGGGTGTTCAATAGTTTGCTACTGCCCGCCTCAAGCCAGACAGCCCCTAGTCAAATTGGTGCAAAACCATCTGCGTTTGACCGTGGTCGCAAGTGTATCCTACTACGATCGCAAAACATATATAAAGCCTTCCAGTACCTCAAATGCTGCGTGTGACGGCCATCAAGCAGATCCCAACCTGTCTTTGCAATTACATTCCGGAGCTGGATCTGCTCCCCACTTCCCTGTGGGTCAGGTTATTGAGCCAAAGGCTCCAGGCGGAGTCCCTCAAGCAAACCTCCAAATCACCCACCGCCTTGTGAGTAAGGCTATTGAGTCAAAGTCTCCGGGTGGAGCCCCTCAAGCAAACCTCCGAAGCACAACGACCACCTCGCGTGCGATTGCCCACCAATGCAATCGTATGCCTGCGCGCAAAGCACTCAGCATCGGGTGCTGGAACGTGCGCACACTACTAGACCGGAATTCCAGCGAGCGCCCGGAGCGACGCACTGCACTCGTCGCGATGGAGCTGGCGCGTTATCACACCGATAATGCGGCGCTCAGTGAAAATCGGCTCGCTGAGCAAGGTAAGTTGCATGAAGCAGGTGCTGGCTACACATTCTACTGGGTGGGCAACGCCACCTCAGTACCACGTGATCATGGGGTCGGATTTGCAATATCAGATCGCCTCCAGGGCCAGCTGGTTGGGGAACCAACAGGCATCAGCGCTCGACTGATGACTGTTCGCCTACGACTCGAAAGACGTAAATTTGCCACTTTTATAAGCACGAACGGTCCGACCATGTGTTATCCTGATGACACGCCTGATCAATTCTACACTCAGCTATCCTCCGTGTTACGGTATGTGCCGAGGAGCGACCGACTATTTATGCTGTGTCGTTTCGACGCGCGCGTTGGGCGTGATGCATCGGTGTGGACGGATGTTATCGGTCCGCATGACATTCGTTCAGCGAATGCGAGCGGTGTCGGGCTGCTCTCACTGTGTGCCACTGATGGCCTGACGATCACGAACACTCGGTTTGCACTGAGTGCGAGTGATATAGCGATTTGGACGCACCCACGGAGTGGTCACATTCAGCTGCTCGACACTGGCATCGTATGTCAGTGTGAGATGCGCGAAGTGCGCATGACACGTGTACTGCGTGGAGCTGTGTGGCACTGATCACAAATTGGTGCGCACCAAACTGTACATATATTTTCGTAAATCTATGTACTGTACTCCCGCCGTGAATCGGCGTAAATTTAACATTCTATCCCTCGGTACTGTGGAGAAACGTATTGAGCTGGAGAAGGCGATGTTTGCACGCCTGTGTGATGCGGAATGCATAGCCACAGTGGGCGACCTGTGGCACCACATTCGCGACCAGGTGACAGCTGCTGCTGAGGAGACAATCGGGCGCGCAAACTGGAAGCGGCCTGATTCGTTGGATGACAACAATGCGACGATTAGCGCATTGGTGTCGGGGAAAATGCAGCATTTGCTGCACATGTGGCAGACCCCAGTGACTTAGGGAAGAAGAGCCAGTTTCACAAACTTCGACGGCGACTGACCCGAGAGCTCCGTCGCAGAAAATATGCAAGGTGGACGAAGGCGAAGCGGATGGAATGCTACGCCGAACGGGACCAACACAAGGAATTCTATGACTCCTTGAAGGCGGTGTATGGACCGAGATTAGAGTCGCTGATCGATGGTAGCTCAAGCGCTACCTGCACACAGACTGCAGATTTGGCGGGAACATTTTGACTGTCTCTTGAACAACCGTTCAGAGATTGACTGGCCTACATTGAAGCAGCACGATGTGAAGGGGAGTATGGCGGACCCGCCGACACTGGATGAGACGTAGAGAACACTTGCTCAGTTGCGAAACGGCAAAGGTGCTGGGCCGACAGGATCCCGCCTGAAGTATTGAAACACGGCGGACCCGCGTTAGTGATTGCGCTGCACCACTTGGTGCAACGTGTATGGATTGAGGAGGAGGTGCTGCCTGTGCTGAAGGATGCCTTGTGCTACCACTGTACAAAGGCAAAGATAGCAAGCAATGTTGCACGAATTATCGTGGCATCAACTTGCTGAGTTGTGTGGGCAATGTGATTACCCGAATCCTGCTCAACCGCCTCGTCATTCAGGTTGTGGAACCTAACGTGGTGGAAGAACAATGTAGATTTCGTTCGGGTCGCACACTATAAATATGGTGTTTGCGGCTCGTCAGTTGCATGAGAAGTGCAGAGAACGACACCAGCCATTGTACTCGCTTTTTGTTGATTTCACTAAGGCATTTGATACGGTGAACCGCGACGCATTGTGGCTGGTGTTGGGTAAGTTTGGTTGTCCTAGTAAGTTTGTAAGTTTAATTGAATATCTGCACAGTGATATGCAGGCGAGGGTGCAGCTGAGTGGAGAGAATTCGGATGACTTTGCAGTTATATCTGGTGTGAAGCAAGGGTGTGTTTTAGCTCCTGCCCTGTTTAACATATATCTTCATGCAATGATGTCTTTTGATGCCGCTTGTGCTTACGGTGTTCGTGTGGAGCACCGTATTGATGGTGGGTTGCTGAACATCCGTCGTTTCGGTGCGAGAACTATAGTCTGTGAGACAACTGTCCGTGGTTGCTGTTTGCTGACGACTGTGCATTGTTTGCACAAGGCGCGGATGAGTTGCAGCATATGACTAGTGCTCTGGCTTCGACAGCGGCCAAATTCGAGCTCGCCATCAAGACAAGCAAAACTGTCTGTCTCGTTCAGCCTTCACCGGAGGTGCAATCTTCAATATTGCCGCGAATCAGCATTGGTGCTGAAGTATTGGAAACCACCTCCCGCTTCTACTGCCTTGGGAGTGTGATGTCGAATGATCAGCAGCTACACAGTGAACAACGTATCCGCTTGTCGAAGGCAGCGGCGAGATTCGGGAAGCTTGAGTACCGAGTGTGGACCAGCCATCAGCTTACCACTGGCACGAAGCTGATGGTGTACAAATCCATGGTGCTGTCCGTTATTCTATACGGCAGTGAAACGTGGACGATGTACCGGCGGGATGTGCGATATCTCGAGCGGTTCTATCAACAGTGTTTGCGACGGATTATGCGCATCGGATGGAGCGACAGAGTTGCGGACATGGAAGTGTTACGACAAAGTGGAATGTATGCAGTGGACTGCATACATCTGAGGTGGCTCGGTCATGTGAGCCGTATGGATTCGACGATGATACCGAAACAACTATTATATGGTCAGCTGAGTATTGGGAAGCGGCATGTGGGGAAACCAAAATTAAGTTACCAGGACATGATCAAAGTGAACGTCTCACGCTCTAATCTTGAGTGCGGATCATGGGAATCGAAGGCGGTTGATCGGCATGCATGGTGCGATCTGATCACGAAGGCAGTGCCGAGGTGAGGGAGAAAGACTTCATGCATGCAGAGAAGAATCGGCAATTGTGGAAGCGAACGGCGCCGATGGACTGTACTCCATCGACATCGAGCGCATGGTGCTGTACCACATGCGGTCGCGAATGCCTTAGTCAGGCAGGCCTAGGGAGCCATGAGCAAGGCCACTCGAGACCACCACCAAAGCGACGACGGGACCTGCAGAGAAGGTAGACAGAACCGGCGCAGCGTTTGTACGTACGCTGCGTTTGATTTACTAACCGTCTGCTTGCATGCAAAGTCTCTTTATTTCAGATGGTTGGTTCGCAATTTTGTCCTAATGTTTTTCTTTCCCATATTAATCTCTACCTGTACTCTCTACTACAAACTTGCACACCTCGCTTAGGTCAATTGTAGTTAATTTCGATAACATTTTCGTGTTTGTGGCATTTCCCTAAAATATGTTTTCTGACCTCTTGAACTTATCGCGGGTTCGTTCGTAATCAATTTTTTTATAAGTCATTTAGTGAAGAGTTATGCCGACGTCTCTGGTTGCCTTATCCGATTTATTTTCTTTCATCTTGTCGTTTCAAGTGATTGGCTGTTGCTTGATATCCCCGGTGTGGCTGCGCTTGATGTGCATGTTGACAAGATGCCTACCTGTCTATTACCCACTACCTCGTCCATACTGGCTCCAGGAGACAGTTGGTCGTTGCTGGAGGGGACGGGGTGCACGGTCCTTGTGGCTGTCAGACTCGAAGAGTGGTTCCATGCACTCAGTGTGTAGCGGACTACGGTCCAGCCACCGCCTTGTATGCGCTTGATTTCCAAATACAGCGTGCTAGTGTTTGCCTGTGAAGGAGTATGGGCCGGCTCCGTTGATGAAACGTGGCTCCCATCCACATGCCTCCCGGTCTTATTCCTTTGAGTTTACACTAGAAATGAGGTGTGTGATTGAAGCTGTGGGTGGTGCAGCGCAAGCCACCCTTGGTCCCTCTGTAGGCGCAAACGTTCTGTGGCTTGCCACAGTGACAGGCAAATCCGAAACCGGATTCCGCCAACCATGTATAGTTCGATATTCCGATACAACCTGAGTCCAACAGCCGACATTATTCAGACTGACCGGGTTCGGATAGCCCGACATGTGTTTGTCAGCTCCACTCCCTCTATTCTGTTCACGCAATTATTGGCGTTGGCGATGTTCACCGTTTTAGTAGGTTATCTTTGGTTCCTTGTTCGTCCTCATCTCCCAATGATCTTTACATTGTCCCAGTCGGTTTCGTGTCCGGTGTCTAGCGCGCGTGCCGCTACCGCCGAAACCTTTTATAAGGTGTTAGTAAGGCCTGTAGCACAGTTCCGCGATCAAAAGCGCTGGACTATGGGCGCAGGTAGCAAGGAAAGTGATTGCGTGAATAGCTGATAGGCAACCAGGCATGTCCTCCGCTGCCCTGCACGCCACCGCGACGTGGAGAACATGTTGGAACCGCAAGCATAAAATTGAATTTTGAGTAATAACACTAGTAGTAAGTATATTTCAAGAAATCTAGGAATACTCATACGAGCAAGCTGCAGGCTGCCGTTTCCCCTTCGAGGACTCACCAGTGCCGCGCGCTCAATTCGAGTTGAGGATCTTCAACTCTATGAGCCTTCTGTTGCGAAGCGGCTGCTTGAGAAGCAAGATTCAGTGGCGTAGAAAAAGAAAATTGGGCGATTGACAACAACGTGGTTAATGTGACATCGTTAAGGAATCTGGGATGAAATTAGCAGAATGTTTCGGCCTACCGTGTTATGAAAGTCAACTGTAATGATGTCATCGGGGTGTAGCTCGGCTAGCTCCAATAACGCAGCCAGATCACAATTCCTTTTGGAGCAAAGGCAACACTCCAAAGTGAATGCATGCGATGCGGAAGACCTTGGTAAAAAGAAAAATGTGGGAGGGGTTGTGCGCCGGTGGACAAATTCGCACAAAAAGATATGCAACGTGATAGTGGTTAAGGTGTTCAAAAGATGCGTTGTAAGCGACATACGAATGGGGTTGCGTTAAGCGACAAGCAAACGCGCGCGAAATAATAAAACAAATCGTTTATTCTCGACTAAGCGAGGCACGCGTGCACAGGCGTGATCAGGTTAAGAGTACAAAATGTGATCAGTGAATGTACGATGGAACAATGGGATTGTCACATGTGTTGATATATCAATGTATTTAAGTGTGCATGTAGACGTATGCAGCCGTGTTTCAAATCAAGTCAAAATAAGCTTTATGAACCCTAATGGGTTAATTTTCAGCATTTACACCACCACTGCGGACACCTGGATGATAATATCGAAATACATGCTTGGGTAGAGAAATGGGAAAAAATGCAGAGCTATTAATCCAACAAGGGCTCGCGCAGCATGTAAGGGATTTTTACTGTGGCAACAAGCAAAAGTGACAGATATGACAAAACGGTATTACGATACGATGAAGTGCAGGAGAATACAATTCGGAATTTCGGACGAGTAGGAGGGAAAGAGAGCGTTTTGGAAAGATTATCGGGAAGTGGATGAAATCGATCATTTAGTACCTTAGAAGAAAGATCATTGCAGGCGTTAAGATGTCCAGAAATGACCAAATCAACTAAAGAATCTCTAGACAAGCCTCTGCATCAAGAAACGTACTTTATAGATCGTACCAAAAAGATGTAGTCTTTCTGAAGTAGTCCAGGGTAAATGACAGGAGATTAGTATAGCCAATGGGGAATAATACAAGAGGTTATAAACCTGAACATTAAAGTGCTAGGTACTGAAACCTCCTAAAGTCTGAGGACATAAAAAGATAGATTTCCGACTTTTTGAAAAGCCTTACAGACGTGCCTGGACCAAGAAGGGTTCTGGGACAAAAAAACGCCGAGATACTTGACGGTGGAAGAGCTGGGTATGGGATTTTCATTCGCAGTAAGTATGGGGGAGGAAGCTACGAGGGATTGCAACTTATCGCCACGTAGAAAAGAAAATATTACATTCCTGCGTTCAGAAGCATTAAGCGTAAGAGATCTGGATGGAGACCATTCCACCAGATCTTCCAACGCACGTTGAAGTGTTGAGGAATCCTGGTTAGTGGGGGACGTACGTCTGAGCACATCATCAGCATATCTACACCCCGTAAACGTGGTTTCTATAGAAATATGTTCAAGATAAAGGAAAATAGAAAACGTGATAGGATCGCTCGCTGTAGAACACCACAGTCGGCAAGGAAGAGAGAGGATTTATTACCGTTCAATTTGGTGAAGTGAGTACGATCTGCATAATAGTCACGTAACATATTACACACACCAAGCTGAACTCCACTTTCGGATAGCAGGTTAAGCAACCTTGACCTATCCACGCTTTCAAAAGCATTCGAATAATCCAGGAAGAGAAACCGTACGAATATAGATTTTGGATCTAATGCAGAGACTATAGAATCAACAACATATGCCACTGCATGCAATGTAGAGCGCTGGGGTCTATACGCAAACTGGTAGATATCGTCTTCAAGAATGGCTGAAAAAAGCTGCGGAATTAGCAGTCTTTCGAAAACTTTTAGGAGCGCAGATGTACACGCAATTGGGCAATACTTTTGAGATCCAGTTTTTGGTACTGGAGTGATACTTGCCGTTCTCCAAATGTCCAGGATCACACCCGCAGTGAGGCATTTGTTAAAGAGACCTGTTAGAGGCAGTGTGAGAATCAGCACACTTCTTCAAAGCTAATGGTGAGAGAGCATCCGGACCACAAGCTTTGGTTGCCTTTAATCTTTTGAGTTCTTTATGGGCGTTGCCTCGATCGAAGGGCGCGGCTGGGCTTAAGCTAATGAAGGTAGGCAAGGAAGATGAGCTTAATGAGGCGGAGGTAAAATCCGAATTCAGTTTATCCACATCCACTTCACCGCTCTGGCTGCAAAAGCTCTTACCACAGAAGCCCCCATAGATCGCGACAGTTATGGTTGCAAGAACACAATTTTGCGAAGAATACTCTTTTCGACAAATCTCCTCAGGCATTTACAATTATAAAGTGGAAAGGCAAACACAAATGGCCGATGAAGCCAAAGAACTTGGAATAGTGGAATCATAACAAACAGAAATTCAGAAGTTTTGATCAATAAGTGTTGGTTGATCGGTGGAATGCCAGGCGTATCATCCGACCACTGTAGGCGCACGGAGTGATAAAAGTTGGTAAGCTAACTAGGGCCAACGTAGAAGAAGCGCTTGCAGCAAGACCTTCTGTTTGCATAATTCCAACGCATCATCACTTCGTTTGATTTCTATTGTCGTTATATGGGTGATACGTTTATACTCTGCGATTCCAACACCAATGTTTCCAACCTGTTAAACCAACTAAACGGTGTGCATCCATCACTGTAGTTCATTATCGAAACCAAAAGCGATGGTAAGCTAGCCTTCTTGGATGTGTTGCTAAACCGAAGGAAAGACGGTTCATCGGAAAAAAGTGTATTCCGGAAGGCCACTTGGGTAGGCCAATATACACATTTTCTGAGCTTTGTACCCTTGAGGTACAAATGTAATCTTATTCGCTGCTTGTATTTTCGTGCTATGAAAATTTGCAGCCAAGAGACGCTAAAGGCCGAAAAGATCCGTATTCTCAAAACGCTGCAAGATAACGGTTATCCGACACCATTCATCAAAAGTATGCAGTAATGCGCGATAGCCGTGAAGTGATTACTGCTGTCCTTAAGAAGGACGTGTTTCTATCAGTTCCCTTTAAAGGCGATGTTGCCTTTGATCCGTTGAACAGAAAAATTTCCAGTGCAGTGGCTCGAACCTTCCCGGCCGCATGCCCACACGTCCTTGCGGAAACAGCTACCTTTATAGCCCAACGTATTAAAGACAGACATACGGTTCAGTCCCAATCTTACATCTTATATCAGTTTACCTGCGTCTGTGGTGCGAGATACGTGGGATACACAACCAGGCGTCTATCTGAAATCATTGCGGAGCACTGCTCAGCGGCTTTGCGGAAAGGCATCGTCAGTCGCCCCAAGAGTTCCATCCTGGAACATCTGGTGGAAAGCGGACACCGAATTAGGACAGCTGATGTCTTCCAAGTACTTTATGCAGTACAGCCACGGTACACTAAAGGTCTTAGGAAGCAAATCTTACAGACGACCGAAGCGATCGCAGTTAGAATAATTCAACCGGAATTATGCAAACAGAAGGCTTTGCTGCAAGCGCTTCTTCTACGTTGGCCCTAGTTAGCTTACCAACTTTTATCACTCCGTGCGCCTACAGTGGTCGGATGATACGCCTGGCATTCCACCGATCAACCAACACTTATTGATCAAAACTTCTGAATTTCTGTTTGTTATGATTCCACTATTCCAAGTTCTTTAGCTTCATCGGCCATTTGTGTTTTGCCTTTCCATTTTATAATCGTAAATGCCTGAGGAGATGTGTCGAAAAGAGTACTCTTCGCAAAATTGTGTTCTTGCATCTCCATGGGTATAATTTACGAGTTATGGTTGCCTAGAACTGCTACGATGTATCATTGGTTTAGTCTTTTATCTTGGATTTAATTGTCGTGGTTAGGCTTTGGACACGGATAGCATGCCCTCACTTGTAAGCGCATTCTTCCATAATTCGAAGTCGCATTAGCAGTGGTGATGAAAATCTATCTGCTCTTTGCTAGATCGTTTCAACAGGGTAACACATCAGCCGACAATTCAGATATGTCGACCAGCTGTCCGGAAAAGCACCAGACGGCCGTTTCGCCCTATTGGGGCTCATCAGTGGTGCGCATCCTTCGGTCCTCTGCGGAGGATCGAACCCATGACTGCTAGTGGCTCTTGCCAACTAGCCCACAGCTTATGCAACTGCGCCATGGAGGACGGTATCTAACTATCGTGAACTGTTAGCTAAGTGCGTCGGGCTATATCGCACTTTGCTAAAAATTCACGATAGTTAGATACCGTCCTCCATGGCGCAGTTGCATAAGCTGTGGGCTAGTTGGCAAGAGCCACTAGCAGTCATGGGTTCGATCCTCCGCAGAGGACCGAAGGATGCGCACCACTGATGAGCCCCAATAGGGCGAAACGGCCGTCTGGTGCTTTTCCGGACAGCTGGTCGACATATCTGAATTGTCGGCTGATTGCGACGAACAAAATACTCACCAAAATCCTTCCGTTCATAAGGGTAACACATGTCAAAGCTATATTTGACGTAGACCGTAAGATGGTCACATTTGGGCGACAGGTCCTCGTCGTAGAAGACCGAAAAATCAGACATCGTTCAGAGCCTCGTGATATTTTCCAAGGAGCAATTTCGCCGTTTGATAATCTTGTAAGGACGTCTGGTCAGCGTTAAAAAATTAGACCTGCAATATATGATTGGACACAGTTTTAAAATACAATGGTCTGAGCTGCTCAAAGGGGCCCGCTTTTGTATGGCAAACAACTGTCGTTTATTTGTGAACTGGGTATCTTGTCTGGTCGAAAGTCACTAGGTCTACCAAGCTAAATGTCTCCAAGAATGCTGTATGCTTTCTATTGAAGTCGCCAGCAACAATACAAATAGAGCAATCTAATTTAAGCAGTAAAGTTGAAGAAAGTTGGTCTTCGAAAAGCTTTAACTCCGATGCAGATGTGTGAGGAGCAATATATACATTTCCAACGATGACTGATCGAAAGCCACTTAGGAACTTCGGTTTGCACTCAAATAAATGGCGGCTTGTAGAAATCGTTGAGTACGTAAATATTATGATTGCTGCGTTGCACCAACATTGATTAACGTAAGTTATAACGCCACCACCACGAAACTGGGGCTTCCCGGGGCGGTCAGACCTGATGGGAAAATAACCATCGAGTTGAATTACCACATTTTCCACATCAGCATGCAACCAGCTTTCTTGTAACAGAATGATTCCTATATTAACATACTC